CCTTGTCTGCAATTTTGGCTGTGTGACCTTGGGCCAGTCTCTCTCCATCTCTGGGCCTAGGTCCACACGTCTGTGCGTAGAGAGAGCAGGCCCAGATGCCCTCAGAGGGACCTTAACTTCATGAGGACCAGAAGCACCTTCCTGTGTGGTTCCTCCCCTTTGAGGCCTCCCTTGCTTCTCTGCTGCTCCTCCCCCAATCTTGAAGCAATTTGCAGTGTCTGTTGGGTTTTCACTGATCCCAGCTCTGCCTAGAGCCTGGGACCAATCCCTCTCTCAGTTCTTCTCTCCTTCAACCTCCTGCTTGTAAATTGGGGCTAATAATACCTGATAACTCACTTTGCTGCTATAGGGATTAACTAATTAGTGGTTATTAAGAGATGGAGGAATGCAGTACTCTGCTCCCATTAAGATGAATTTCCTCCTCCAACTTCCTGCTACTGTGTGTGCAATCTCAGTGTTAGTCAGAAAACCCTGAAAGTCCAGACTTCCAGCACCTCCATGATACAGTTAACGAAACTGAGGCTGAGGAGCAGGAAGGAGTAGCCTGTGACCATGCAGCATCTTGTAGCAGAGAGGGGAACAGAACTCAAGGCGCTGGGCTTCTGTCTAGTGCTCCTCCATCATCCCCAGTGGTAGTGGTCCAGGGTGATCCTCTGGCTAGGAGGGAAGATGTATGGAAAGGCTGCCACACCTGGTGCCTGGCTCACAGGGGATCCACAGTTTGGTTTTCGGGGAACAAAATTTGGCATCAGCCAGACCTAGGTGTCAGTCCTGGCATGTTGGCTTACTGGGTGACTTTATACATGTTACCTGCTTCCTGCTTAACCGTCAGTTTGTTTACCTGTAAGTGAGGATAATGACACCTTCTTCAAAGGTTGCTGTGAGGACTGGCCCCACGCCGTATTTGGAAAACAGTAGGCATCATGTTCTTCTGATTATATTGTTGTTCCTGTGGATTGCCGTGCTGGACAGAGCTCTCCGAGCCCAGAAGCAGAGCTTCCCTGAGGGCTCCTGGGAGCTACACCCTGGCTGGGGGCTTCCAAGTACAGCACCTCACTTCATCCTCACCCCACTCAGCATGGGACGTGTTACTAGCCCATTTGACAGAGTTGCACGTGGAGGCTCAGAAGGGAAAATAACTTGCCTGAAGCCATGCTTTCATTAGCAGTGAGATGGCAGCATTTTCAGTCTTTTTCTTTCTATCTCCTCACTCTCTTTCACCCTTTATTTCCTGTCCATTGCCCTTTCTCTTTTCTGTAGAGAAGTTTGAGTGATGCCCAGCTCATTACAGGCCATGCCCCTAAAGGCTTCTCACACCCCTCCTTCATATAGCACATCTGCACCCACCTCAGGTTTCAGGCATTTGCTGGAAGGTGCGTGGGGGTGCAGGAAGCCACTGGGTCTGACCACGCTCAGTGTGTGTGTGTGTAGTGGGAACAAGACTATGATGTGCACCAGCCTCAGCCCTGGGTATGATCTCCCTGTAATAATATGGATGACAATGTTGGTATTAGCTTCCATGGCTGAGCACTGAGCCAGCATTCATTGGCTCCTTACTGCAACATGTGGGCTCCATACTACTAGCTCCCTGCTACTGGCTCCATTTTAAACATGAAGAAATGGAGGCTGAGAGAGGTGAAGTGACTTGCCCAAAGTCACACAATTGGTAAGTGGCTACAATTTAAGCCCAAGTCTTTTGCCCCTGTGGTCTGTGCCCATAACCAGATTCTGTATACCTCTGAACTCCTCCATTTTCCTTGGGGCCTGGAGTCTTGGGACTGACACAGGTTCAAACCTGGGTTGTTCCTGGTCACATTCATCCTTCACATTCCTGCAGTTGTCCCCTCAATCCAGAGTGACAGCCATGTATACATAGGCAGTCTAATGGGAATAATAATGCAGAGTTATTGAAGATGGAATACAAGCAGAGCACTCATTAAGGTGCCTGGCACATGGTGAACACACAGTGTATGGCAGTAGTTGTTATTATAGACATGACGTTGGCCTCCTGTGGAAATGTGGGGGGTCCATGTGCTGAGGGGAAAGGGAAGCTAGAGGAAGTCAGTGCTAACAGGACACAGCATCCTGTCCCTGGTGACCTGTTAAGGATGCAGCCAGAAGAAAAATAAAACTTAGGGGCATGGTTGTTGTCTCTGAGGGGCTACCCTGGGGCAGAGGGAACAGATGTGGTCTGTGGGGGCCTCAGAGGACAAAGCCAGTGGGGAGGAGTTCCGAGAGGGAGGCTGATTTTTAAATACCCAAAGAAGGAAAGCGCTGGCTTAAGTGGTGTTGAATCCTCCAAACTGGAGGTGAGTGAATAGAGACTGGAAGCGGGCCGGCATTGGTGTTGCAGAAGGCATTTGAATGACTGCATGGCATGATTCCTGAGGTCTCGGACAGGAGTGTTACAAGAAGGCTGATTTTGACCCTGACTGAGCAAGTGTTTTCTGGCAGAGCTGTCTAAAGATGCATCTCACTGCTTCAGGGAATGGTAGTGAGGCTCATGTCTTGGGGAGTGTTTAGGCAGAAGCTGGATAGTCACTGGACAGGGATGTTGTTGAAGGCATTAGTATATCAGATAGCAGACTGGATTAGATGACCCCTTAGTGAGAGGTGACATGGCACTGGAGAAAAAGAGGGGGCCTGTGTCTGAAGTCTGATCCAGGCTCTGACATTTGTCAGTTGGGCAATCTTGGGCAAGTGTTTTCACCTCTCTGTGTTCTGGTTTCCTCACCTGTAAAATGAATATCATAATTCCTACCCTCCTTGCTGTCTAGGATTGTAGCAAAGGGTCGGAGATACGCAAGCTGTAAAAAGGTTTTGTGAACTCTGAAGCTGCTGTGAATGACTCGTTTGACTCACTTGACCCTGTTGGGGGACAGGAAGAGTGGGTTTTGGATCATAATCCGCAAAAACACAATCACAAACACCATAATCCTGAAAGCCGAATTCTGGAGATGGGATTAGTGGCGGTTTTGGTTGTGCACAGAGTAGTTACATTATGTTAGCTGCATCACATTAGGTGGAACTATTACCTTGCTGTTGTCTTTATTTGCCTCTGGTGGAAAATTCAGATGAGTGGTTTGGCCAAGCAATATTGCAGTTATGAAAACTTCCGTTTAAGAATGTTTCCTTGGCCTGCATTGACATTCCTTCCAGCTGATGACATTCCAGGAGCTTTTAATGAATTAAAGCCACATTTGCCTGAAGAAGCCAGTGAAGTTATTGACTGGTTTGAAAACAATTATTTGCATGGTAGGATAAGAAGACAGCCAATGGTGTTACTGTTTGATCGCCATTATCGTTTCCACCAAATTTGTGGTCCGTATATGCATGCTTGTGGAATGGATTTTGGAATACCCAAAACAACATAGAAGCAGGGCTCAAAAGATTGGAAAATTTAATTGAAAATGCTAATGTCAGTGTATATTGCATCATAGAAAGATTTCAAAAAGAGCAGTGCCATATAGAAAATGCATGTGAGTGTATTTTCCAAGGAGAGCCATGTCCCCCCCCCCCCAAAAAAAAATCAGCTATTTGTCATGATGCAAGGCTTTAAAATATAGTTAATGATCATGGAAGTCAGCCAGTCTGTGCAATTGCCCATAATCTATCCCTATAATGCACTTTTCAATGTGTCAAATTTTCTTTTTAGTTTTTAAATTTTTTTTTTAGTTTTTCCGCCACTGTTTAAAATTGTCAGCATTATTTTTTACAATTCACTACCCTTCATATCTCATCTTCGCATCATTTCCAATACTGGAAGTATAAATTTTGTGGAAACTTTCAGAGTTCTAATTTGTTTTATGTGGTTTTTACAAATTTGACTCCATGAAAGTACAATATTACAATGTTGGCTTGTGTGTAAGCATTGTGCACCTATGTAAAAACACTGAAACTCCCTCAATGAAGGAAAATATGTCCTTTTTGTACATCTGCACTTGTGAAAACAACATTTCTTGGTATCTTGGCCCTTTGGGTGACTGCATATTTGGTGGTGACCCCCCATGGTTTTTTTTGATCTCATCAAAAGACTTAGGATGTTCGTCATGGTATTTCAGATGACTGCCGTTATAAGTCTGAGTGCCTACAACTACTAACTATACTGGTATGCATTTATACATTTCCATTTGCTTTATGAATATAGTTCATCTGCTCATAACTGTCATACTTACATAACTGTTATTAGTATACCTTGGTATTTATGCTTGCAAAAATATGTATATTGTTGCCCATTTTATTGTGTAAAGTGGCCTATGTGTTTTTATGTTTCTCAAATAAATCCTCTTTTAAAGATGTAAATAAATATCTATTCAAGAATTTTAAAATTATTTTTCCCAGAATTATGTTTTTGGGATTTTGATCCTTCAGGATTTCAACATTTGGGATTATGGTATTCACGGTTGTCTCTTCCGGGATTATGATCTGCTCCTGAAAAGGGGTATGGAAAAAGATGGGTGGAAAGGAAGGAGAGAGAGGAGGAAGGAGGATGTGTATGGCCTACTGCTGGGTGCTGGGTTGGAAAAGAAAGGAGTTTGTAGCAGATGGTCTTCCCCTCTTAGCTCTGCAGCCATAGTTAGAGTTTCTAGAAAAGAACTTTCTACAACATTGGAAATGTTCTATATTTGTGTTGTCCAATCATTAGCCAGTAGCTACATGGGGCTATTGAGGTCTTCGTGGCTAGTGTGACTGAGGAACTATATTTTAACTTTTATTTAGTTTTTTAATTTTAATTTAATTTTTTTTTTTTTTTATTTCTTGAGATAGAGTCACCCAGGCTGGAGCACAGTGGCATGATCTTGGCTCACTGCAACCTCTGCCTCCTGGGTTCAAGCAATTCTGTCTCAGCTTCCTGAGTAGTTGGGACTACAGGTGCATGCCACCATGGCCTGCTAATTTTTGTATTTTTAGTAGAAACGGGTTTCCACCATATTGATCAGGCTGGTCTCGAACTTCTGACCTCAGGTGATCCATCCACCTTGGCCTCCCAAAGTGCTGGGATTACAGACGTGAGCCACCATGCCTGGTCCAATTAGTTTAAATTTAAATAGCCACATGTAGCTGGTGGGTACCATATTGGACAACTCAGTTCTAGAGGAGGTGGCAGGAGCCTCCCTTCTTTCCACCTTTCCTATCCTCCTTTCTTAGCAGGAGTTGTTGACTTATGCTGTGCTGTGCACTGTGGAGGCCACCAAGATGAACAAAACATGGTCCCAGCTCCTGAGGGCCCCCAGCTCATTCTGTGAGACAGACAGACCAGCCTGTGGATAGAAACTACAACCCAAGGGGACGCATGCAGCCCTCCAGCTGTGTGGGAGTAGAAGGAGTAAGCTACTCACTCAGTTGGGGCCACAAAGGCTATACTGTGAAGGATGAGTTAGGAGGCCTGGGTGGGAGAAAGTCTTTTTGATAAGGGAACAGTAGAGCCAAAGACTTGAAGGCAAGAAAGAGCATAGAGTGTTTGGAGAATGCAGGTTGAGGTGAGGCTGGGGGAATCAAATCTCACACTCCCATCCCCATCACCAAGGAATGGCTGGCAAGCCGACGGAGCGAAGAACTTTAAGGGCAGTCCTAGTGAGGGTCTTGTTCACCCAACCTGCCTCACAACATTCAGGACATGTAAAGGGGATGGCGCTGGGGACCCTCTCCCTCCACACCCAACTCACAGAGTCTTGTCTCCCTGCCTTTCCTGCACAGAAGGGCTCAGGGCCCTGAGATCCTCCTTTGGCAAAATCCCCAAGAATTCTCCCTCTGACAACACACCCTTCTTTTCTTCAGCCTTCTGACCGAAAACTTAGTTCTGACTCATGCCTTGGCATTCCTGGGCTGGGCTGTCTCCTGGTTTTACCGGTGCTGGGCTGACAGCTGGACTGACGTCCTAACTGGTGTTCCTGCATTTAGTCCCACCTCACTTTAGTCCACCCCCCGACAGCAGTCCAGAGAATCTTTCTCAAAGTGACTAGAAGTACAAATGTCGACACCTGAAGTTTGGTTCTAGACTTGGTGTGTGAATGTCTTATGATCACCATTCTCTTGCAGAGACTAGGGGAAGAAAACTTCCTGCCTGAGAATTTGATGTGGCGTAAGTTTAAGGAAAGCTTTGGCCAGGGTAACCATTGGATGTAGTGCAGTGCACATTATGGGCTACCTGCCAGTTCTCTTTTCCTTTTGTTCTCTCCTAACAGAACTCTAGTGTGATTGAGGTAACCCCATCATACACTTCTAGACACAGCCAGCTGCCCCTGGGGGTCTCTGACGCCACCCCCAACTTCAGAGGAGTGCTTGATTGGTCTAAGGAAAATCCCATTTTGCTTGCCAGTGTCTCTGTCTCAACTCACTGATTGAGGAAAGCCATGAGATCCGATTTTGGCCAATGAAACACAGGAAATACCTGCTGAGGACTTTGGGGAAGATTTCCTTGCCTTACTCTTGAGAGGCAGACATAGTAAGAAATGGTTCCTCTGTTTCCTCAGATTGACATCATGTGGAAGATTCCATATGGATGTGATGTTCGAAATTGATGTGTCCTTGTTTCTAGGCAGAGTAAGGAGCTTGGAAGAAGCTGAAGACGCCACTGAAGCCCTGAATCAACCTACCCTGAAGCCCATCCCAACTCCACACTTTCTGTTTTGTGACATAATACATTTCTGTTATTTGAGGCTGAATGTTTCTTAACCAATGAGGTACAGTGGTTGGGACTCTTTCCATTTTAAGTGATAGCAACACAATTCCAACTGGCATAAGCAAAAAGGGGTGGTACATATAAGATGGATATCCATGTGGGCGGGAGAATCTGTGCAGATTATGTGCATTTGTAAAAATGTCTTTCTTCTGGTAGTTTAGAGTCTACACTGGCTTTGAGAATTATTCTTTAGCTTTGAAAGTGTGTGTGTGTTCCAAATATTACCATTTGGGAGGTGGTGGGAAGAACCAGTGGCATTTTTGTTTCATTGGTGAAGACACATAGAAGAGGACTGTCTTTTGAACACCCAAGTTCACCTCATGTTGTTCTGCTGAGGCCCTGCATGACTATTCTAGACTTGGTCTTTGGGAAATTCCTGCTGAGTGTATTGTGTGCGATGGATTTCTCTGAGTTAGTCTCATTCCTGTGAGGGCTCACCTGGTGAGGGACAGGCAAAGGGATTTTTCTCACAGAGAAGGAAAAGCAAAGTGGTCTTCAAGACAAGAAACATGAGAAAATCACTCATGGAGGGTTTATATTTCTTTGTTTTTGTCCCTTGGAAGAGTTATATTTGGAATCCAGTTTTATGGCTGGAATTTTCTGATGTTCTCTGATCTTCAGTGGAGGCTGATAGACCTATACAGCCTGGCAGGTGGGTTGTGGGGTGTTGAGTGTGGGCCGGGGGCAGGGACTGGGCTTTTCAACAGCTCCTTAATGGTGAGGCCCTGCAGTGCTGATTATATCATACAGTCGATGACCAGAGCAAAGCAAATGGAAACCCAACGTGGAGCTGGGAGTGGTGGGCAACTGGGACCCTTGGAAATCCATTCCTCAGCCTTGAATGGGCCTCCAAATATCTCCCGTTTGGGCCTCAATGCCAAGTTAGGGTGGAACTTTATGAGAGTGGCCCAAGATCTAAGAAGATACACTCCCCACTCAGTGACTCCCCTGCCCTCTTGGGTCCTTCCTAAGCCATTCCCTGGGGATGAGGCCCCACTTCCCCTGTGAGGTCTGAGCTGGGGCCCGAGGTGCTTGCAGACTGGGGTGTCTGTCCTCTGCAAGGAGCAGCGAAGCCTATTACCTCCTCCTGTGTGTTGGGAGGCTTAGGGACTTAGTGCAGCTGTTGAGAAATAAAGCTATTTAAGTGGTGAGCTTTATATTTTGATCCACAAGCCTATCTGTTTCCAAAATTCCCCTGTAGACATCATCAAGCAAAGCCTGGCAGATTTTGTTGTTGCTTTTTTCTTTCCTCCAAAAGCCTGCTAAAATTGCTTAGTTAGCTGTGATAAGAGAAGCCATTTTCTTCTGTGTTGCTGTGTTCTGTTCTCCTCTCTCCACTGAAGCCACCAGCTTGGAAACTATCTGGGTGCAAGGGGAGGGGACTGCTTCTTAATTTCCCTGCCTTAGCCTGGCATTCAGGGCTCTTTTACAAGAACGGACCCTAATTGGCCTTCGCAGACTTAGCTCCAGCTACCCCTCGGCGTATACTCTTTTTAAAAAAAAAGAAACAGTGGCAACTCTACTTTTAAAATCCAGGGACCCATAATTACCTCCTCTTTTCCCTCTCTGTTTTATTCCTTCTGCCTAAAATGCCCTTTGTTCCCTTCCCTATCCCAGCTTCACCTCTACATGCCCAAAGTCTACCTAGTTTTAAAGTGCAGGGCAAATACCGCCTATAGCACAAAACCTTGCCACAGCCTTGGTTAGAAGTCACCAGAGAAACCAATGAGAGGAGATCATAATCCCCGCCTCACAGTGTTGCTGAGCAGAGTAGACACAGTAGGGAAAGTGCCTGGCACATGGTGGTAGCTTACTAACAGGGAGCTTCCCTTTTTCCCTTCTTTGGAGAGTGGTTTGCCCAATAACATACTTGGCCATAACCCATTGGAGCTCCCTCCACATTCTGCCTCTAAGGATCATGGGCCAGTATGCCTCAGGCTAGCCGGGGATGCTTGCCTTTCTCTCCTTGTGTGGTTCAAAGTCTCACACACTGGCCATTCTGCCCCTGAGTGCTCACCGTTACTTTCCTTTGCCCCTCCCCTTTTCTGGGCTCTTGATAGAAATAAAGTGGCTGGTCCACCAGCTGTTCAAGTTCTGGGTGATCTCATCCAGCTTGGGAAGGGGATGAAGGTCTGAGAAGGCTTCTTGGAGGACCTCGATGGTGAAGCTCTGTCAACTGGAGTGAACATTATTAAGCAAAGACAAGGAAAGCTTGAGGTCTGTCTGGGAAGGGGCAGGGCACTGAATGTGGCTGGGGTATTGAGTATGTGATGGAAAATGGCGAGAGATGAGGCTGGGAGGTTAGGGTGGTGCTGGATCATGAGGGAACTGGAGATCTGACTTTGCCCTGAAACAAAGGGATACCCGAAGGTCTTGGTGCAAGGGAATGACAGTGTCCAAGGTATGTTTTGGAAGAGCACTCTGAGGTAGCTTGGAGGATGGGCTGGGGGAGGTGAGACTCGATGCAGGAGATCTAGGCAATAGTAAAGAGCCAGGGAAGAAGGGCCTAGAAAATATAGATTTTAGAACGCAGGATGGACAGGGGCCTCCACCCCAAGGGCCTGGACTCCCCTTTGGGCCTCTCAGCTTCCCAGACTCACACAGGTGGGAAACAGGAAGGTGGGCTCTCTCTGTCCCTCTCTATTCTGGTCCCACCTTGGCCCCCAGTTACAGCCTTGGTAGCTCCATTGCTGGTATCGTTAACCTCTTCTGTGCTGAACTCAACTTTCCCACTTCAAACTAATCTCGTCTGAATGACTGCAATAGCCTCCTAACTGCTCTCTCTGCCTCCATTCTTACCCCAACCCTCTCATACCCACCCAGCAGCCAGGCGGGTCCTGTGAAAGAAGAAGTTAAATCATGCCACCTCTTTGATCAAAATTCCCCAGTGTCAATTCATCTTACCCCGAGGAAAAGCCAAGGCCCCACTGTGCCCTCTAGGCTCCACCTACCTGACTTCTGACCTCTCTTCCCTCCCTGCCCACTACCTGTCTGAGGTCACCCACTCCTGCTCCCTCACCCCAACCCCACACAGAGCCTCCATCCTCCTGCCTCGGGGCCTTGCGCCTGATGTTCCTTCTGCCTGAAACACTCTTCCCTGTGGGTGCCTTTGGCTCCTTCCTCCCCACCTTCATGTCCTGTGCAGATGGCACCTTCCCCAAGAAGCCCTCTTTGAGCATCCTGTCAGTCATAGCCACCTGGCCCTGCTCGCCCTCGGGAGCCTTCCTTTCTTTATTCTTTCCCTACACCTGTCACCTTCTGATATAATGCGTAATTGTCTCATTTGTTATGTTTGTTTTCTGTCTCTCCACTAGAAAGTAACGGAATTGTGTCTGTTTTCTGAGGTCTCCCCCAGTGCCCAGAACATAGTAGGCATTCGGTAAACATCTGTAGAATGAATGAATGAGGAATGAATGAATGATTCCTGACTGCCCTCAAGTCCAAACACCACTGAGAGCTCTCCCAAGTGCTGCACTGTCCTGGCCCAGTCCCTCCTTGTCCTATCCACAGCTCTACACTGACCTCAGCTCCTCTGGTCACTGTCAGCTTCCCTGGCCCCTGCCCCTCCTCACTCCTCAGCTGCCGACTGACCAGTCAGAGCGGGGATGAGGAAGCCATGAAGATGTAAAAGGAAGGGTATGCAAACCCTATGGGATCTGCTCTCAAGGACCCCTGGGAGAGAGTCCAAACTCCTTGACATGTGTCACAGGGCTCCTGCCTCCGTCTGCTGCCAGTCCGTGTACCACTCCTCCCTGCACCACTTCTCCCTGCAGCCTGTGCTCCTGGTGTCTTTCCGTTCCTCAAATGGCGCATCTATCGTGTTGTGTTCCTCAAGCCCTTTGGACTCCAGACTCCATGCTGTTCCCTCCTCCCTGACTTCTTGTCTGGCCAACTCCTAGCCAGCCTTCAGATTTTATCTAAATATCACTGTCTCTGGAAGACCTTCTCAATTCCTAGATAAAGTTCACACTCCCATGGGGCCCTGTCTCTCCCCTTGGGTTAAAGGCATTATGCCTATAATTATTCTTCATTGCTTGTTCTCCCCACTGAGCTGTGAGTCCAGGAGGGAAGGCTTCAAGCCTGCTTACGTCTGTATGCTTAGAGCCTGGTACAAAGCTTGTTAGAGAGAAAGGGTTCAAGAAGTCATTGCTGAATGAAAGAGTGAAGAGGATTTACCAGGGGCCATCCAAAAAGAAAGGAGAGGGAGGGGGAGAGAGAGAGAGAAAGAAATAAGGAAGAAAGTCCAGAAAGAACATAGGCTCTGGAATCCAAATGTTCTGGTTCCAATCCCAGCTCTGTCACTTACAAGCTGTGTGACCATGGATAAGTCACCTCCCCTCTCTGAGCCTCAATTTCTCATCTCTAAAATATAGAAAATAATATAGCTGTACCAGGAGTGTTGGAAGAATGACATGCAACACTGGTCAGATGCTTGGTATCTGGGAAGATGCTGAATAAATGGTGTCTGTGTTACTGATGACACTATGAAACACTAGCAATCATCTCTCCCTATTCAGCTTTGACTCCAAAGTATGTCCAGGCCGATTGTCTTATTTTCTTCTTAGAGCAGCTCTTTGAGACAGAAGGGTAAGGGTGGAAACGGAGAGTAGAGAGATTAAGCAACTTGACCAAGATCACCTAGCATTGTTGGGCTAAGCTGATTCTGGACCAGGCAGCAGGAATCTGGTGTTCCTCTTCCAGGGCCCTGGCATGCTCTGCTTTGCATTTTGGCTATGTGAGCCCAAATCTTACTAGATTCTGAAGGGCAAACGTAGTGCCTGATTCACTACAGAATCCCCAGTTCCCAGTGCAGTCTGACAGAGGGCAAGTCCATGGGGAATGGTTGTCAAGTTGAGTAAGTAAGTACAAAGGACAGGGGTTTATTCACAACTCTCAGCTCACGTAACTCCCTCTGGCTGCTCAGATCAGAGTACAACCCCATGACTATTTCCCACTGGCCCCTTTTCATAGGGCCA